TTTAAGCCAATTTAATAAGGTTTGTATTAAAAAACTAACTATTCATGTGTCAGTAAGTTGATTGAATTAATCAACTCTTTTTTTATACGATTCTCACGAAATGTTGGCTGTTTATTAGTGTTATTTTTTTTACATAAATTCGCATAGTAAGTGACAAATTGTCAAATGTTACTACAGCATAAGTAAAGAGTGTCTTAGCAACTAAAATACAAATTGATTCTACTGGTTTTCAGGCGAATATTTTTTGCGAAGATCTTTGCAAAACCTAAGACGGGGTTTTATCCCATTGCCAAATACAGCAAACCAAAAAAAAAACTGATTCTATTCTTAGAAAACCAAAATATTCAACAAAAAAAAATTTATTATTAACCAAAGTATCGGTAAATTATAAAAAGACATATTTAATTTGAAAAGTTCCAATTAAAAGTAGCGAGAATTGACAGGTACTTACAGCGTAGTTATCGCGAATTTCAGTGTAACCAAACCAGTGATTAGTACTTTTTTTTTAGAAAAATTTTTAATTTTTTTTAGGAAACAGAAACGCTGTGCTGACCACCTAAAATTCTATGGTACAAAATTTGCCTATTATGATTTTCCAAGTACCATTAACTTAAAACGAAAAACTCAGGTTTTTTTAACCTGATCTTTGTTCTTATTTTTTTGCTTCTTTTTCATTCCGATTCAAAAAGAGCAAATATGACAATCAGTTTCAGTAGTTTACTGACATTTTCAAATTTCTGAAAAAAAAATTTGACTTTTTTTTAGCCAGTGTAACAACAGAAATCCTCGACTGGTAACTGAAAAATAGTCATTGTTGCTCGGTTCAAGTATTCCCTAATTTGAGTTGGTGGTTGTGATCATTACAGCTTATTTGTTTATATTATCTTGTTTTTTTTTTTTTACTAATCACCAAAAAAATTCAATGTTTTTAGAGTAAATGAAACAAAAATTTTTCATTTGTAGAAAAAATTTCATTTTTTGAAAAAATTTAACTGTAATAGCAGCAGCAAAAAAAGTCTGTTAAAATGTTAGAATAGCATCAAATTTTTTGATCTTGAACAGATACTAAAAACAGCAAGCAGTTGACAAAGCTTTAAACTATTTTTATTAGCACTACAATAGTAGTAAATGGTAATTGTTTTTAATTGATACTGCTGCAAAGTTGAAGGTGATGAAACAGTTATATGAACACTCAAAGAATTCTGATTAAAGTTTTACACCGTTTTCAGTATTATCACTGTTAATACCGTCAACAGTGTTACAAGAAAAAAGTTCTTCTCATTATTGCTATAATTTACTTTTCAAATTTTTTTCAGGAGCTAATCAAGAAATTAATACAGTAACAACACATTTAAAAACTGGAATCTTAATGAGCGAAAGATGACGGAGGAGGCTTGAACCTTGACAAAATTTTCTTCAAGTACCCACAATCAGTTAGCATCTTGAAAACAGTTGTAAAATACAGTTATAAAACTTGGAAATGGTTAAACCTGAAAAAAAAAATGACGTTTTTTCAGCTTTAAACTAAGCCTTTGCAAAAAAAGCTATAGACGACTAATTGAGTAGAATTATTGAAAGGGTACAATGGTTGCGAACAATTAGTATATACGACGAAACCTTTACATTACTGGAGCAGTATGACTGCAGATTCAAGCTGCTTGGTTTTTTTTCGTGTATATTGCTGAAATTTCTGCCAAAAATTAATAAATATTTTGATATTAATTTAATTTCGGTTTCAGTTCAAAACTGCTCTCTATAGCTTTGGGTTTGTTTAGTCGAATACTACGCTGAATAAAGTTAAAAAAATATTGAACAGAATAGAGAGCAAAATTTCCTTTCTTGCAAAAAGCTGTATGCGTCAACTAATTAACTGTTCATTGCAACTGTTCATATTTTATTTCAAAAATTAAACTTCAAAATTTTGAACTTTTCTTTTGTCATTTTTTTTCCAGCAAATAAGTTTATTTTACGTTATTTAAAAAAAAAAATATCTAACAAATTAATTTTTGGGTTTTACAAAATTTAACATACAAAATCAGAAATTTTTTTTTAGGTTAACGGTTGTTTTCTGAGTCTTTGTTCTTTAGCACTTTCGCTGTTGCTAAAAGTGAAGAAAACTAGACCAGTTCTAATAGATAAGTTTCAAAGAGGTCTCCATATGAGTTTTTTAACAATTTTGCAAACTGCAATTAAATAGCCAAACAAAATAGATTTTCAGACGCCTTATTTGCCAAAAAATTTTAGCAAAAATATTTTAAACAGATGTATAGCTTAAAAATAATATAATCATTAAAGAGGAATAAAATAAATTGTACTTAGAAAAATATTGTGCAAATAAAGAAAATACACATACAAAAAAAAAAAATTATAAGCTAATTTTAAAATTGAGCAGAGAAAACACGTCCAATAATTAATAATATATCAACCAAGTTTATCAAAACCAATTATAAACAGCTGAAAACTGAAGCAGCATTCCAGGCTTAATTAACAGTTTCTTTACTGATGCTTTACTCTTCAATAATTTATAAGATTTTAGAAATTTTTTTTAGCATTTTTAGCATCTATTTAAGGCAAATAAAAGTTTTCAAAACATTTTCAAATTTGAAGAATTCTAAACTACATTTGCTGTAAGGAATTTTTGTCTAAAAACTGCTAAACTTTTTTTACTACAAATGTCCATTTGAAAAACACTCATCTTTAAAAAACACTCAAGATCACAAATCTTATTTTATGAAGCATATACCAACGTAATTTTTATGCTACCAAACGTAAAAGAAATTTAGAGTTAACCTTTAATTTTTAGTTGTAAAACGAGTGACTACAAACAAAACTGCTCTTCTTTTTGTTGGATTAGGTAAATTAAGAATGAAATGTTTCATTCCTTTTCAGGTGGATAAACCTGATTTCGCTTTAGATTAGTCACTGAACGAAACAGTAATAATGAGTAATAACTAAACACAAGTAAGTTAGATAAAATTAACTTAGCGTTCAGAATGATTGATTTAATTTACCGAAATATAAATCTTAACCTTCAAGAGCGTAGACTCACAGTAACTGTGCGGTCTAGGGCTTCAAATAAAAGAATTTAGCAGAACTTCTGGCTTAGCCGAGAACAGTCAAATAATCACTAGTAAATTGCCCATTTTGTGCTTTTGTGTCATTATTTATACAAAACATTTGTTGCTTACTTGTTGAGTACCGATACCCTTTATTTTCTATGGCTTCTCGTTAGTCATACACTCACTTATTCCCTTAGATAAACATTTACACCTTTTGTAACCAAAAGTTTTTTGCAAAAAGTAAGTGAGTTACTCAGAGTAGACTTGCAATGACTCTTCACTTAATTTTTGAAAAATAATTGACAATTAAAATAGTTAACTTTTCGTAATATTAATTACACAAACCAAAAACTTTTAACAATGTATACAGAAAACTGTATACAAGAAACCTTTTTTTAACGTATTAAGAAAATAATAAGTCAGTGATTACGCAGAAATGAAGAAATCAACTACTGAAGTATAAAAAATGAATATAAAAGACAGAAAAAAAAAGTACATGCAAGCTGTAAGCAGTCAAAGCATACGTCTAACTGCCGTTCTTCTCCCTGAACTATCCAAGCCGAGTGCCAGTTTGTCTTTATTTAAAACAAGGCAGAACATTTAGTAAGTGGTCCAACTAATTGTTCATCTACCTTCTGCAATCAAAAAGTCAGCTTTTTGTTCTTTTTATGAATCCACAAGTCAGTCTCGCTATCAGTGCTGCTCAGGATTCTCTTCTGACTACCGCACAACTTTTTCAATTGGTTTACTTACTGCGTGTTATTTATAATCTGCTGTAGTGCCTGTCAATTTTTTGTTGTATTCAGATGGATATGTTCAAAAATCAAGTTTGTCATTAAAGTACTGCCAGAATACTAGTTTTAACAGCCATAATTGATAAGACGTTAAACACAAGACAGTGAAGACGTGTAACCGCGCTGACGACAATTTAAATTACCATAAGTTTAAATAGTGAGGCATTTAAAAAATGGGAAAGAGAAAAACAGAATAATAAAGCACCTAGTGCAAAAGATAGCACTAACAATTGTAAAAAACTAAAACTTACAAAACAATTTTCCTTTAAGTCAAAAATAAGATTACAGTGATTCACCTTAAAAGTAAACACTGCAGAAAATTTTTCTAATTCAAATATAGATCAAAATAAATAAGAAAAAAAAAAGAAAAATCTTATTTTTATTCGGTCTTGATTGCTTTCTGCTGAATAACACTTAAAATCAGCATTACACAAGCACATAACGAAATGTCATAGTTAGAAAACATTAAAGCAAAGATTCACTGAGATGACTAATATTGCAAAATAATTTAAAATAACAGTAATAATAATAATAGATACTAAGTTTTCCTCAAGAATGATGATGATGAGGTGCTTCAGTTGACCACTGCTTGATTGACGGTGGTAAATATCTAATTTTGACATTGTACTTGTCAAGATTTTCGGTAAAGTGCTCAGCTGTCTCATGCAGCCAACGAACAGGTTGAGTTTTCAAACGATTATCTGCAGGATATGGCAGATTTTGATTAATACCCTTGTTGTTTGGACTTTTAAACGGGATATCGTTTCGTACCTGTATAAAAGACCAGTATGGGTCACAACCAAAAAACAGTAAAACAACTAAAGGTTTTGTAGTAAGAAAAACAGCTAGCAAGCATCTCAGTCAGGGAAGTCGCAATGACCTAATTTCACCATAGGTCTTGATTTATTTTTTCTTAAACTCCTTACTATGGCTACATCATAGTTTAGCATTTAGAAGCTCTTGCACGTTAGCCTACTAATTTTTCTTCCTAAGAAACTATAGCAATGATACCTCTGCATAATACTGAACGCGCCCAGGATAATCGTCGTATTTGTCACACACATGTTTCACCAAACCATTATATCGTGTTTGTCCAATTTTGAACAACACCCAATCTCTGGTTTCATTCTGGTAAAAGCAACCTGAAATTGCGTGCAGTATATGCACGTCCAATTCAAGAAATGTTCAGTTTCTAATAAGTAGCAAAGTCAGAGTAAAACTTGCAATTGGGAAATAATTTCAAGAGACGTAATTTATTTCTTACCGGTTATCCACTTGCCGGATTCTAAGCATACGTACTGAAAATAGCCGTCTCGATAAATTTCGCCAACATGGCGCATTTCACATTCTTCGTCACATGCTGGCTCTAGAATATTATTTCATCTATAATCACTAGTTTTTAAAAAAAAAATTAGCAATACCAAGCTATAGTGTGTTGCTTATCGTCTCAGACTGTCACAACCGACAGGTACAACTCTTCTTCCAGATGACTGCTTTTTTTTCGAAATATAAATTTAATAGATTGATTTGAACGACATATACAGTTTAATAAAGAAGACTCAGTATATCAAAGTTTTAACTTTCCCAAAAAATCTGTAAAATAAACTATAATTTTACCTTGTTGATACTTGATTCTCAGGTCAGTTACATCACAGCTGTACCAAAAACCATTAATAGTGACATTATCACCGGGAGCAATAACAGTCCGGTTTACTCTCCAAGTCGTCTTGCAGCCCAAAAATTTTGCATTGGTGCTGCAAACCATCAAGAAAACATCTATTTGATTGGCTTTTAGCATTAAAAAACTTTATTTGCGCTCTCGGTAAAAATATTTGCTAAACATAGACATTCCTTTTTTTCTGGTTTTATTAATTTCATTTTCTTAATAATATATCTACCCGTTTTTCCCATCACATCGATAACTCCATGTATCGTCATCAAACCAGGATTCATTGTTACGCCGGCATCCACCATACCAATCTCGACAGTCACAGTGCGCTAAAAAACAATTCTTTTTATTTTTTTGAAAATCTATTCTTTGCAAATTTTTGTCTGTGTAGTTTATAAAAGACTGTATATAAAGACCTTCTATACTGTTGCAGACTCTTATTTCTATCTGTACTATCGCCTAATGTAACTTTAGGTCTTCTCCTGATTTTGATTTTCTTTATTATGGCCAAAAACTTCCTGATTAGACCATGATTAACGACGATTACGTCATCGTAGCCTCGAATGAATGCGAAATTAAACCACAAGAACAGGTTTCGACCGCATTAGCCGGTGTCAAATTGCCGTTATTTTTTTGAACTTTCTCTCAGTATTCGTTTGTCACAAAGCTCTTATTTCAATTTTAGCCTTTAAATTCTAAATAATTTATCTGAAAGATGAGGTCTAACTGTGCGTGAAGCTGTGTTATTTAAAGAAGATTAATGCATAAATATCAGGTACGGTTTCCTGCTGACACTAATTCATTATAAAATTAATATTTAGTTCTAACTTCTCCATAAACAGTAATATTGTCACTCCTCAGTAACTCGCTGCAGTTATAATTATATAAACAGCTAAATCGTACTAAGCCGTACTGCTTATTTTCAAGATTTAGCAACGAACTCCGCTTCATTAATAAAAATAGATGCGCATCTGTTTTCAGTTATTCAGGAATCACTTGTAATTCTCTTATAATTCAAAAACCTGAATTGTTAAAAAGCCATACCAGGTACCCACCCATACTACAGTTACTTCCATTTCATTTCTTTACATCAATATAACAGTTCTTTACATTGTTCATCGAAGACTAACAATACAAGAGAAGTTAGAAAAAAAAACAAGGCTAGCCATGTAAACAAGTCAAACAAATTCAATTAGATTGTATTTACTGCTTTTTCTTCCTCCTTTTAATAAAGTTTTAAATTGGAAATACATCTAAGCTTGAATAATACTAAAATTTTTACTTCATTTAAGAAGTAAAAATTTCTCTAAACCTCCGGTAAGATTGTTCTTTGTGTATGATTATCTGTAAATTCTCTTTCGACATCTGCAAGACCAGTTGATTTCAAAATAGCGAAATGAAAATTAAAACAACCGGTCAATCCAGAAACCATGGCGCTATAGTATCAGGTTTCTTATTCATCAGTAATAGCCAAAAACTACCTCCAAGAAGAAAACAGATAATTAACAGCAATAAAGAATTAAGAGGTTGAGGAAATCAGATGCATTGAATAAATTTATCAAAACCAGTCTCACACTCCGCTTTCTCCAATGCTGCTGTTTTTCTGAGCGGTCAGTCGAAGTGAACGAGGAAGAAAAACAGGCATGAAGTAAGAAATAGCATACACTTTAACACTGTGATTCGCCAAGTTCAGCAAAAATATTAAGCAAGAACAAAAGTTACTAGTTTGCTTTAAAATAAGTAACTTTTATTATTTGATTGGTTAAATTATACATAATTGAACTGTTCAGAAACCTTTGCTTTAGAATAATATTAGGCAAAAAAAAGACATCTAGTGTCATATTAATTGACCATCAGCTAATCTCCATTAAAGTGGCAGCAGTACTTTTAACGAAAATCTTCGCTATTTGTAGCAAAACAAATAGCTCAAGGTTACTTTAGAGGCTATAAAGTTAGCTATATTTTTGCATATTATTAATGCGAATCATTGATTGCTTGAATAAGCAAATCATAATATCAAATTTTAAATTTAAATCACTTTTTTTCAGCTTGTCTGCAAGCATGACGACTTTACAAAACTAATTTCAATAACAGTATAATTAGTGATGTATATAGCAGTGTACTTTTTTTTTACTCAAGTTTTATAGATAATATCGTCTTAAAAAGAAAATTTTTACAGAGAATAAACTGACCCGGTAGTTTCTCGATACCATCAGACTCAATAACCGGAACAATCAGCAGAAAAATACCCCAACAAGTGAACGTTTTTAGCTGCATTGCTGAAATTAAAGAAAACAACATTACTCCTGAATCTTCTTCTTGAAAATTAAGCAGAAAAAAGTGGTTCTGAAAAATTAGTGAAAAATGGTTCCTAAGCAAAAGCAAAAAAACAGCAACGATTAAAACTAATATTTTTTCAATGACACAATATTAAGACATTTCATCTGCATAATCAAAACGACTAATAATTCTCTTCCGGTTTCTTTGTACGCAACTTTCTGAGCAAATTGGTCTTCAGCCAAGGCTTGAGTAATTGCTCTGTTCAGTGTCTTCTTTGCCTCTATCAAGTTTAAGAGATGTTTGTTTAAAAAAATAATTGAAAAGTAGTCAAAATTAACGCCTAATAGTATTGTCTTTTTCTTCACCTTTTTTTGTCCAACTGTCCAATCAAAACCACTGAACTGCCTGAATAAGGAATGAAAAAAACTACGCAAAACTAGCACCTTCACGTAGAAATTTCTATATCATCTACAGAAAAATCAAAACGTTCTTATTTCTGCATATTTTTTTCACCCATAAAAGCTTCTCGTCATGATAAATTGTGAAAAGGAAGTGAGAGAAAAAAATGCAAGAGAGGTAAAAAAACAATAACTTAATAGTGATTTTTTCACTGTGAACTTAATTTTTGCTTCTTTTTAACTCCAGAGTTTTATCCGCTGAAAAGTTTTAGAGAAGTAAGAAGATATATTTGATTTAAAAAGTAGCAGCAAAGAAAGTTTTTTAGAAGATTGATAAAAACAAAGGTTTTCTAAAAAGCAAGCGACAGATAAGATCTGCGGTTTAGTCATCTGTTAAATTACACAATAGTCAGAATACGTAATGTTGAAGAAAAAGCAAAAAAAAATTTTTTTTGCCGATCATAAGGAAACTTAGAAACAACAATGAGCAGCATTTTTCGTTGAAAATAGGAAAAAAGTTCTTTTTTTCGTCGGATAGATCCGCTTGTACGCTAGAAACTGGTAGTTTGTTCTATCGCTTTTTTTGGTTTGGTTTGTTCTTTTTTCTATTTTCAAAGCGAGAAACAAGTCTTCTATTAAAAATAGACGCAAATAATACAAATAAAAATCAGAAAACACATCTACACTTAAAAGCAGAATTGTTGATTCTGAGCGATTTTACTAGCTTAACGTCAGTTGTCTTATCAGCAAAATTTTGTACAATAAAGGATAAATAAAGCTGGCATTCTCCTACTTCTAAAATCCAAACTACAAATTTTTAACCTGATTTAAAGTCAAAGGTGTACCCGCAAAGTAGTTTCGTTTGTTCTTGAGAAATTAGTTTGCATTGCGGAAAAGAAAAACTGTAAGGGAAAGTTAAACGGAATAGAGCATTAAAGAGATGTTGCAAATCATTTAGACATAAAACGTGATATAGATTCTGTAGCATGAGGAAAGCGCTGGTATCTGCGAAATCTTATTGACTTATCTGTAATGTTTTTCGACAGCAGTGTTTCCTTGAGTTGCGGTGCAGCTGATACATATATTTTGACACATTGGATACATAATTTATTGTACATAAATACTAATTTTACACTAAGCGGTACTTCTGATTAACTGACTGTAAAAAAAAAAGCATAGTTTCAGCTTCAGAGATATGTTGCAAACTTTTCGTAAAGTTTAATCATCCGTCCCAGTAGTCAGTCGGTCACAAAATTTGTCGGTTATTGCGGCTGCTTTTGACTTGAGAGTTCATTGTTGAGCATTAGGCAATTCCAGTATAGATTAGGAAGTTTTTTTTTGGAGGATATTTGTGGCATCACTCCAATCCCTTAATAGCATCATTTTTCTTTGGGTTTCAATTTTGAACATTAATATTATCATAACTATTAAAGGCCAAGAAATGACCTATTTATTACAGTTGCAGCTGAAGTAAAAATCGACTATTTATGGTGGGTGCAAAATGGTTTTACACTTAAAAAACACTGCTATTTTTAGATTTCGTCATAATACCTGTTTAATTTTAAAAGAATTCACCAGAAATAATGAAGCAAAATGACAATGATAACTCAGCCCATCTAAGCCACTTTTTCCAACGTTATGATAATATTTTTGACAATTTATGCTATCTCATCAAAACACCTGTCCTCACTACAAATACTTTTCTTCCAGCATTTTTTGTTAATTACGAGAATGAAAAGAAAAACGAAGCAATGATTATTAAAAAAACATAATTTGAAAAATTTTGAACAATTTAATTTAGATATATAGCAAGAAAACCGATAAAGACTAATAAAAATGAAAATGAAATGATCTTTAAAATCTTTTTTCTTCTTCTATTACAGTTTGAAATGCTCTAATTTTTGAAATTAGAAAAAAATTACTATAGCACTTTCTGTAAAAGTTACGATTTCAAAATTTGTTGCACAACTTCCAATGGTTATCAAAAGAATAAGGCAGAATTGCAAAAACTTTTGCCCAGTCTGAAATCAGACGAAAAACCCTATACAAATAGTAAGACTGATTTTCACTCAAGTTTTAATTTCCTTTTACCAATCCACCATCCGTAATTCACTCGTATTTTGTCCTCAAAAATTAAAGGAAAGGTTGAAGCGCTAGTTTTTAGAAAAGGCGTTACAGACCTGATAACTGGTTTCAGTCCCAACCTTCCATTAATATATCCCTTTCCTATAAATAATGCTTCTCGGTCAGCCTTGAGCCCGCCACACAATAGCGCTTGCGTCTTTCACTTCATTTAACAAATCGTGTAGTCAATAGCTACCTGCACAGTTACCTGTCACTATGGCCATCTTGAAATAAAATTGATTCCAGCTTTTTATGGCCCAGTAATTAGAAACTGCTTGCGGGTGAGCGAAAAGACGGGTGAATTTTATTTGTTTTTTAACGACTGTACAATACTAGCATGGAGTAGAACAGGCAAACTGGGAAAGTATATCCATACTGAAAAAAATAATCCAACCATTATTTACACTCACAATAAACAATCATAATACACATCATCAGCACAAATCTCGTCTTTCTTCCACAGCACAAGCGTTGGCTGGTGAAATACTCGAACAAGTTCCAGTCAAGAATCGTCTGAGATGGAACAAATGACAGTAGATCACATATCTAAACGATAATTTGAGAAAAAAAATACTGAGAGTAAATGTTAGCCAACGCGGCCATTAAAAGTATAGCAGCTTGATGCTTAACTGATAAGTCTATTTACAGTCTACTGCTCGTTAAAAGCAAGCAAACAGACATTGAGGTAGATACTCGGCGATATTGATTCAATCATGTTAAGCGAAGTGACGAAAACAGTAACACGTGTTTTCGAGTGCAGAAAAAATACGAAAAGTAATGCTTTTGAAACATAATGGTTCTTTGCAAAATAAAAAACAGATTTCTCTAGCCTAACTGTTAAGAATTAGAACTTTTATTATTTCATCTGAATGTTAATTTAGTCTTAAAACAAGAACAAAACCCAGGTGCAGGTGAATACTTATAACAATTGTATTGTTACGAAATGAAGTGGGCTAGAAAGAAGAGAACTAGAAATATATGAAATATACATCAAGATGAGAGGGTCAACCGTCATCTCCGATCACTGACTGCTGATCTGCATTAAAGACTGCCAAATTTCTCCTTCATTCGATGACTATAACTGCTGCATATCTGATGTGCTTTCAATATTAACATCAACAATTTTACAGGCCCTCACTTATTTGAAAAGAATTCATTTCCGCATCAACCAACATCAGCAGTACCACAGCAACCCCGATCGGAAAACAACCCCACGCCTGCAATCAAAGTACATATTGAACCAAATGTCTTCAAGAA